GACTCTGGGGGAACTGGCCGTAGCCACTGCCATAAGGAGACTCCTTTGTACATTGACTCTTGGGGAACTGGCCGTAGCCACTGCCATAAGTAGACTCCTTTGTACATTGACTCTGGGGGAACTGGCCGTAGCCACTGCCATAAGTAGACTCTTGAGTACATGTCAAATAATTAGGACATTGCCTTATTATTACCAGGTGTTTTTCCAGACCCCCTCCCATTTCCCAAGAATCCCCCCCAGAGTACAAAACTGATAAGGAAAGAAATCAGGAAGAAAGGGTGGCTCAATCCTATGGGTGTGGTTTGTACCGTGCACAAGAAATCTTGGAATGTACAGGGTACATGTATTTAATCTACATGTACAGTACATTGTACATGTGAAAAATATGTGTAGTTTGTGAAAAACTGAAAACAGTGTGTGTGGGAGGGTCATTCTGGAGACACAAATGAGGAGTGACAATTGGGGGAAGAGGTCAATAATCAAATTAGGTTGTGTCCTGATGATGACCTGGTGTGCTGAGGTCAACTTGTAAATGGCAAATGCACATTATCAAGAGTGGACCTACTGCACCTGTACATGTTGGGGTAGGGGGGGTAGGGACTCATTATGGTAGACAGTGGTCAGTGTGTACATGTACATTTAGGTTGTGTTTCTTGTTTATACAGCGAGGAGTACAAAAAACTACAAATGAATGTGCTTGCTAATCAGAAAAAAAGATCAAGTTACAGAGCCTGTAGTGGAGAAACAAACAGAAATATTGTAACCAGCTGATGTGTCAGGGAAATGCCTCCACTCATGCTTTCATTTCTGCAGAAATTCCATGCTTGGGGTAAACTACGCACGCTCTTTCCGGCTTTGTGAATTTTTGCTGTGTAGAGTTTTAGGCTGTCTGCCAAATCCAGTTCTGTAAACATGTTTACAGTGAGCCCCAGTGTTGTGCCAAACATTCCAACACGAGTTGAGCAGTCAGACAGGTTTTTCTTGTTGATAATTTCCTGATGTACATACGTGTACATGTGTAGTAAGCTCTACTGTGCCTGAATTATTATCCCATTGACAGTGAACATGACACTGTATGACCAACCTGTTGTCAAGGACACTAGACAGCGAAATGCCCCCTTGGATTAGGCAACTGTACCTTCAGTTTATCAACTTCTCATGCAATGCATGCATTCTCTGAATGTTGTTTGTATCAAGTTTGTACAGTATAAACTAGCTCATCTGATCCTATGATGAACTGATGCCTTGGAATGTCACTTATTTGTTATTGAATCTCAGTTTTGCTATTGTCATGGTCAAGTATTCATGTAAGTTGTGCTGAATAGAAAGGAACGGGAAAATATGAGGTCCAGTTCTTGGTAAGTGCTGTGACCGAGATCTGTTAGCCCAAAGGAGAGGTGTTTTATATAACAATACATGCACATACCGATATGTATTTTTTGTAGCAAAATACATGTACACGTACATGTGCCAGTACATTGCAGATTTTAGGGTGACTGAATCCAGTATGATTTTGTTTAACTGCCAGAAATTTTGTTTTAGTCGAAACATGCATGTTGGCTTCCAGGTTTTTTCCCAGCGGGTTTCTTTTTGGTTCTTGTTTAGCTCAACCTCAAAGCATGTTTTTAGCATATGCAATATTTCATTGTTGTTTCATTCAATAATACTTTTACGTCTTCATTTGCATTACGTGTACTTCGACATTTAGCTATTTTAAGTCGAGGCCTTTTTGCCGCTGACATTAACCCCAAAAGTCATCAATCCTTGAACTGTTGGAGGATTTGGGACCGCTTAGGGTTAGTTATTGTGGCATTACATGCACCGGTATATGCCTGGGGCCAATTTCATAGATCTCCTTAAGCACAATATTTGCTTAAGGATGAAATACCTTGCTTGATAAATCAGGTTACTAGCCAAAACTCCACATGATGTATGTTGTTTTGGAATGGTATTCACCTGTTGCTAGGTTTGCATGACAATCACAGATTTTGAGCTGGTAATCTTTGTTTTTTAAGCAAGTATTTTTTGTGCTTAAGCATATTTTGTGCTTAAGTACTGTAGCTCTATGTAATTGGCCCCCTGGTGATTTAATAACATTAGAGACCTGCCGTGGTTCAGGGGTAAGACTGCAAACAATCACAATTGCTGGAAATAGTCCAAATCTAACAGATGAATTGTGGAAGTGCTCAAATTAGAATGATAATTTGTTGCACTTTGTAGGAAAAACGGCTGTTAAACCAAGTAATTTTTCCCTGTATTTTTGTTCCATTTCAGATTGAGTCACTATGGGGATTGACAGCAACAACAGGGCAGGCAGCGGTGCAGCCTACTCCCGTTTTGCCGAGGAAATGGACATAGACTCTGTCAATCTCAGTATGCATGGCTCCTCTGTGAAATCCCCGGGTATTAGAGGCTTTTGCATGACCCACTGGAAGACGCTGATTGTGCTGGTTATCGCACTGCTGTGTTTTGGCATCGGTATCATCATGGGACATTTCATAGCCGGTGCTTGTATAGTGAAAACCAGCACCAATGGAGTTTATAAAAATCAGACTTCAAGTCCAAACAAAGGCGGTGATTCTTCGGCCAGTCCAGTCGCAGCTTGTCCAACCGGGCCTATCAATGCCAGTCCAGCCACCGCCAGGCCTACCAATGCCAGTCCAGCCACCGCCAAGTCTACCATGCAGCCAACGTCAGCCTACGTAGACATGATAAATGGACTTATTGAAAAGGGAAATCTTCGCTCCAATTTACAGTAAGGCATTGCAGTTGTTGGTATTATTCATGTTCCGCTCTTACATGTGCAGCTAAAGTGATCCAGTCACTCCACGTGGTACTTTCGTGTATTTTTCCCTTAGAAGTGCAACTCTCATGTCATATTTGTGTAGGTCAGATTTGTAAGTTTCTTGAATTGACTTTGGTTGGTTCAAGAACAACGAACGTACACGCATCATTGGTTCCTACAGAGAAATGTGTATTGGGCGATACACCGCGGATTTCTTGCTAGAAAATTCCCCTACAAAATCCTTCAAGGTCAACCAATGTGCAAGAAAGTAGTGGCACCAACTGTGGACTTACCTCTTTAAGGGGTGTAGTCACCCATGCATGGGGATACACATAATGTCATCAATTTGCCAAAACGAGTGGTAGGTTTTGAAGGATTCAAGCACGATCACTGGGTTCATTAACCCCTAAACCCTGTCAGATGGAACAACAGGTGTAAAAGCCTGGTGCATTTTGTTGCACTGGGCAATCAATAATGTGGATGAAACTGTCGCCATTGATACAATAAGAAGTGATCCCATTGAACTATGCCCCCCTGGCTGGTAACTGTGTGTGTACGTGTATCTATCAAGGCCGTTAGGTGGGGTGGAGGGATTACTCATGTGTTGAATTCAAATAAAACGACTAAAATTGCTTATTTGCTGCTGTTTCCAAGATACGTGTTTTCACATTTTTCTTACTGTGCATACGTGTATGATGTACGGTACATGTACATAGGAGATTCTCAATCATGAATCATATTGCTATACTGAGTCCCATATCTCACAAACTAGAGCCAGTCATCAATTTTAAGCATTGTATCCCTTCCCTGTGTCCCAGAATTAGTCCCAAAATGTTGACTCCATTTGATTCAGAGGTATTTTGGCTTTAGACCAACAGAACTGGTCCATTGGACCTTGCTGCGTTCTGCCGATAAGTAACTTTGGCAGTTTATCACTGAGGCAAAATACCCCACAGGGTTACATGTTGCCTGATCAACTCACACTTCAATAAATCAATGGATCTATCACTGGATTGATATGAAAACGGATTCATGTGGTTCATTTGTGCAGAACCTATACAAATGGAGGCCATCATGCAGGCTCACCAGGAAACCGAGACAAAGCCCATACCATCACCAACACTTGGACCAGCTACGGTTTTGATGTTGTCCAGAAAAATTACCAAGTATTATTGTCAAGACCTAACCCGTAAGTTGAGGAGTTGTTGATTTTTTTAGTTTTGAAAGCTCTCTGCCTTTCATTCCAGAGAGGCAGATTTTTTTCTGTCTTAACCGTAATCCCCTAGGCCTTTTTACTAGGAACCATCCTCAATCCTCCAAAATCCCCCAAAGTTACTTGAAATGTTACTTGGAGGTGTGCCTACTGCCTCAATCCTTCCAAATCCTCCGGCAATTCCTTTCATTTTGTTGAGGCATTCTTGAGTAGTGCAGTTGATTTGAAGAAATATCGGGCCGAATTCATACAAGACTGAGCAAGAACAACACAAGTTCTACCCCACGACCTTCAGTCACGGCATCCTTCGCAAGCAGCCATGCACTTTTGCCATTCACCCTCAATCCTCCAAAGTCCTCCCAGACTCCAAGGATTGAGGAGGGTTACGTTAAAAACATAGGATGCACCTGTGCTGTTTGACTTTATGAAGTGGATAGTAACTGGAAAATATACAAAGTTTTAAACTTTTTATTCCATGAGATCAGGATGATTTTCTTATCAGTATGCAGATTTCTGTTATTTGACTGTGATTTGTTTTAAATCTTTAGAGCCAACCCCAATAGCCTGTCAGTTTATGACATGTCAACACAGAGCGACGTAAACACGTTCATACCAGACGACATCAGTGGGATGACGGTGGATATGCTGCAGCCATTTGCAATCTATGGAGCCAATGCATCAATAACGGTAAGTGCAACAGTACATGTAGTTTTGCAGTTGCACACCCTGGTCTGCATAAGCGGGAAACCATTTCACTGTTGAAGGAGAATCATAGAAAAAGTTTTGCTTAACCCTTACCTTTCCTAACCACACAGAATTAAACAGTGAAGTGTTTAATTCTGTGGGTATAGGTCTGGTAGGCCCATAGCAGGTGGCTTTTGCATTGGGTCCAACAGCCTCTGTGCACAAAGTCTCTATGGGTGTTTAACTTGGTGTGAATGGGGAAGGTTAGGGCCAGCAACCCTTGGGGGGGGGTTAGGGTTAATTAATGTTCTTGATGCAGTTTTTAGGCACCCAAAGTGAACTTTGAATACAAAACTCTCGGCCCAAAATAGAGATTCCTATTGCTGGGATGGACATGAGATTTGTATTCTGAAATACTGTGATCACATTCAGGGCCGTACATTGACTCCTGCTTTCAGGCAGTGTTGTAGTTAAGACCACTTAAGACCACACAAGACCAGCATAAGGCCAACACAAGACCTCTAGTCTGAGTTCAAGCCACAAGCTATTCAAAGGAACTGCAACAAAAGCATCCCTTTGTCGCTGTTCACACTGTTACTTGTGTCTGGT